AACACGTCTACAATTTCCTGGAGCTCCCAGCAGAGATGGATCCACCCCCACTGAGGTCCTGCTGTCGGGTCCTCCTCCCCACTCGAGGATGGGGAGACCAGACCCAGAACCCCTCAACAAGCCAGTGCCCAAGCTTCCTGCGGTGCCCTCTCTGGAGATGCCCGCACAGGCTCTCCTTGATTTTAGCCCCAGGGCTGAGCACTTTTAGGAAGCAGACGCGAGTTTTGACATCATGGGAATCAACTGCAACCACATCCCTCATGCTCTTCCCTGTCTCTCCTCCCACCTACACTGTCCCAGGGCCTTTGGAGTCCCTCCAGCCTGCTTGAAGGAAGAGATGGGCAGGTCCCCCCCACGAGCCCAGGGAGCCCCTCCAGGGGGTGACGACTTACTCTCACAGGCCGGCTGGCTCCCAGCCACGCGGGTCCCGGGCACCTCCTCTCCACTGCCCAGGACACACCAACAGCTGCCCTGGGCCAGGTCACATTGCACTGGGGAAAAGCCTGCGTCCTCTATCCTGCAGGCTGGGGTGTAGCCTGGGCTGGCTCTCCTGGAAAGGACCCCACTCCGGAGCACTTCACAGAGGCTCGGGCCTGGACACAAAGGCAAGCCACATGGATTCTTTGCCCACATAGCTGCCACAGCCCTCGCCATCACCCGCTGCCACCCACCGCCACCCACCTGCAGGGTCTGGGGTGCCTCCCCACTGGGGTGTTAAGCTAGGACAGGGCAAAGACTGGGCCTGGCTCAGCTCTGTACTTCTCCTCCACGCACAAGCACCACACACACACACACACACACACACACACACACACACACACACACACTCCACCTGCCTTCAAGGAGCTTAGAGTCTTAAAGGAGATTTAAAGTAAGTGAGCAACTATAGTTCAGAGTGATAAGGCGACAATAGGAGATGTACGGGGCAGTGAAGGAGCCCACAGGAAGGCACTGAACTCAGCTATGGAAGACTGAAGCCCCGAAGACTCCTGGAGGGGCTGATGTGTGGTCTAAGTAAGAATGAGCCAGGTAGGGGGTGGGGAGAGGGCGGGGAACCAGAACACGTGAAGGCCCAGGGGGAAGAGAGCATCTGCCTTCTTGAAAAGTCTGACTATAGTTTATTACAGCCAGATGCTGAAGCCTGTGAGGTGGAGGCACAAGAGAAGCAAAGGAAGATACAGGAGCCAGATGTGCAGGGGCCGTGAGCCGTGGCCAGGAGCTCGGGCCGGCCCTGAGGACCACGGGGGTGTTGATGGTTTTCAGGCAAAGGAGGGACATCAGCACATTTACACTTTAGGGACAGCATCTCGACTTCACCCTGGAAACCAGACTGCAGGGCCGGCTGAAAGCTGAGGACCAGGGGAGGACCTGCTGGCGCATCAGTGCTGCACAGCTGCTCACCCCGGGGAAGCAGCAGTGCCCACTTTCACAGGGACCAGTGCTGGTATTGCCCGTATTTTACAGAAGAGAACACTGAGGTGTAGTGAGGTCAGAGGCTTCCACAGCTCTGGAACATGAAGCCAGCTCTTGGGACTCCAGATGCAGTGCTCATGGGGAGGGGTTGGGGGATGACGCTGGGGGGGTCGACACTCACACTGGGCAGTGCTGTTTGAGCCAGGCGGCACGTCCTCTCCTGAGGCTGGGTCCACACACCAGGTGCCAGCTCCCGATGCCTGCAGCCTGGCAAACTCTCCTGTCTGAGACAAAGCCGAAGTCATGTCACCCCAGGGAAGATGCTTTTCCAGCCCACAGGTCAGTGGACAGATATCAAGAATGTCCTTTCCAAATGGCTTCTCCAAATGGAGGGACATGGGGTGGGGGGGCGCTCTCCTGTTCCAGACCCTTGACACACATTATTTGAATTGATGGTTATAACAACCCTAGGAGGCAGTGGCCACGGTTATCCCATTTCAGGGTGGGGAGACTGAGGCTCACTCAGAGAGGGAAAGTGACAGAGTGACGTCCCATAGGTGGGGAGCAGCCGGGGCTTAAACCATCCAGCCCCAAAGCCCAGCTGCTCTCCTGAACCAAACGCCCCCATTCCAGAAATGATTTTCAACAAGCATCCCTAGGAAACAGGAGTCTGTAACACCTGTAACAGAGAATAAAGAAGACAGTCTCCGAGGCAGCTACCCAAACCCTGTGTCTGCCGGGGCCTCTCTCCCCCTGTCCCGGGCCAGCTGGGGAACGCTGGGCAAGCCCCTTCAACTCCCCGGGCCTCAATTTCCCCATCTAAAAAAAAGAAGGTGGGACCAGATGGCTCCTTGAGCCCGTTCCTTCTAGGAACTCTGGATGGTAGAGAGTGTCATGTCTCCTACGCCAGAAAACCATGCGAACAGGCAGGGGTGCCGGAGAAAGGAGCTGCCCCACGCTTCCTGGCATCACTCAGTGTTCCTGGAGGTTTTCTTGGCTGCTTGTTCATTTTATACTCTGCGGTGCTATGTTCACAGACAAGAAATGACAGTAATAACAACACCAGCATCTACAGAGAACACGACCATGAGGCCCACCCTGTGCTAATCACCCCCACCCCGGGAGTGTCATCCAGTCCCTGGGAAGGAGGGACTCTACTGTCCCCATTCTATGCAAAGAGGCCCAGAGAGAGCAGTTGATGCGCCCCTGGTCGCACAGCTTGTCGGCTATACGGGTGAGATTCACACCCAAGCAAGGTCAGAGAAAGTTTTATGGGATAAAAGTTTAAAAGTGAGAACATGGGGCTGGCCCGGTGGCATAGCAGTTAAGTTTGCCCGCTCCGTTTTGGCAGCCTAGGGTTCGCAGGTTTGGATCCCAGGTGCGGACTGATGCACCGCTTATCAAGCTATGTTGTGGCGGCATCCTATATAAAGTAGATGAAGATGGGCACAGATGTTAGCCCAGGGCCAGTCTTCCTCAGCAAAAAAAGAGGAGGATTGGCAACAGATGTTAGCTCAGGGCTGATCTTCCTCAAAAAAAAAAAAAAAATGAGAGCATTCTAGCCATTAACTTGACTTTTGCTAAGGAGTTGGGTTAAAGGCACAGCCATCCAGTTTGGGCGGTGGAAGTTTTGGGTTCTGTACCCTGGCACCTGGGTCCTCCATGGAAGCCAGGCTGGGAACCACATGGTCAGAGGGCCTCTGGAACCTGCTCTGACTCACTTCTCCTGCTCTCAGAGCTGTGGTTCTCCTCCATGGGCAAACATCAGCAACCGGGACAATGGAGCAGACTTCTACACCAGCAGTAGGGGGCTGTCAGCCAAGATAGGAGACTAAGTAGGCTAATTTCTCAACAAAACCCAGTCGAATTGGGGTCCATGTTCACAGTACCAAACAATAATCATAATAAAGAATAATAATAAGGAGACATTTACTCAGTGATTCACAGGTTCACTAACTTCTACGTTGCTGATTTCATCTGATTTTTACAAAGCCTCTTGATGCTGAGCTGAGCAGATGGCGGTGTTCCTCTCATCCCTATTTTAGGGAGGGGAAACTGAGGCACAGAGACTTCTATCACTTGGCAAGTAAGTGGTTAAGATTCCAGCAAGAATCCTTTCTCTAGGAGCTTTTACGTCAGCTGCTGCACTGAATTATTGCAATCATCCAGGGAGCTGGGAGCGTATTATGAGGTCTCCCATTTGTATTAAGAACTAGATATGATGGGCAGAGCCAGCCCTGATGGCCTAGGGGTTAAAGTTCTGCTCACTCTGCTTTGGTGGCCCAGGTTCAGTTCCCAGATGCGGAACCACACCACTGGTCTGTCAGTAGCCATGCTGTGGTGGTGGCTCACGTAGAAGAACCAGAAGAACTTACAACTATACACAACTATGTGCTGGGGCTTTGGTGGGGGGAAGGAAGAAAAAAGGAGGAAGATTGGGAACAGATGTTAGCTTAGGGTGAAACTTCCCCTGCAAAAAATGAAAAAAATAAATAAATAAAATAAAAGAAACAGACATGATGGCCATGACAACGTGGCCAAGACAACTTTAGGAAAAGCATGGCAACAACTATATATGTATAGATTATTTTTCAGAGTTTTCACGAACTATATTTCCTTGGGGCCTTAAAACAACCCCAGCACTAGGCAGGATGAAAATGTGGCCCAATCTCAGGATAAATAAAGCAAACTGGAGCACAGAGAAGGTAAGAAAAGTGCCCAAGGTCACACAGCCAGGGTAGCCAGGGCTAGGACAAAATTCCAGGCCTAGAATTCCCTGTGAGATTTTAACTGAAACAAATTTATTGAAAACTAGGAAAGTCATCCTCAATCCGTGGGAGAAAGTTCTGGCTTCCCTCCTTGCACCCCTCCTGGGCCTTCAGAGTCTGACCTCTAGGCAAGTTGGGATGAACAGGTCTTCAGGAGATGGGTCTCCTTGGGATCTGGCCTGTTTCCAGCTGGAAAGCAGCCCACTGGCTTGAGATTTCTCACAGGGGGTGGGGCCTGTGGGAGAGAGAGAAGGCTCTTAACAGACTGGTGGTGGGCACCGAGGGAGAGCAGGGAGCCCCGGCTGGCCCGGGTGTCAGGGCTGTGCATCTGGTGGATGGAGGTGCCTGCACAGAGAGCGGAACCTCAAAGGAGGAGCAGGCTGAGGTTCAGGGACAAAGACCCACGTGGGATGTACCATCTTTGAGATGTAAAGGGGGTGGCTGATTACATGGGTCAGAACCTCGGCAGGGAGGCTGGGCTGTAGAACAGGTGTGAGCTGGTTGTTGAAAGTGCACAAGCGGATGACGCTGCCCAGATGGCGGGTGTAGTGGGAGGTGTGGGGGAGAACCGGGGCTCTTTCCCCCGCTCTCAGCAGCCTCTGTCCACCTGGGAAACTAGGAGCACAGATTAGGAAGGTCCTAGGTCAGTGAGGGGCTTCCAGGCCCGGGGACGTAGGAAATGTGGTCTGGCAGACCCTTCACTGGTCTGGAGCGCACTCGAGGGCTGACCCTTGGAGCCTCTGAGCAGTTGGGTAATGACAGCTGGCGCCACCAGCCTAGAGTGCCCTCCCCAGGGTCAGGCGGGGGAGTCTGCGGGCTTCACTTACACTGGGGCATCTGCGGGGAGCGGGCAGTCAGCGAGGCAGGGACATACCCCCCCTTCTCATCCACACACCAGCAGAGTCCTAGAAAAGAGCCACGGGTCGGAAGTTCAGGCAGCTCATGGAGATACTTGACCCCGGGTGTCCCGCAAACAGCTTTCCTTCTTTGCATTCATAGCGGTGCCAGGAAGGTCCCCCGTCCATCCCCCTGCCTGTGTCCCTTGCCCAACATTGTCTACCATCACAGGTCTTAGCACTCTGGTCCCCCAGCAATCTTCCACTTGACCGTCAGGCTAGTAGAAGGTCAGTGCTCCCATTGCACAGATGAGGCGGCCAAAGCCCAGAGAACCTTAAGGGATATGCCACCAGCCACCAACAACGGGCCTAGAGTCCAGCCCATTCCTCTAAATGAAAAGAAGGGGTGTCCCTCAGCTCCCCAAGGGCGCCCGTCCCCCTCACCAGTCCGGGCGTGGCACTGCAGGGGTTCCCATCTTCCGAGCGCGTCACACTGGGGCATGTAGGGGCCGGACCACAGGAGGGCGGGTGCCCGTGCGGGGTCGCCCAGGGAAAGGCGGCGTCTCTGATAGAAGTCAGAGGCTGGAGTCAGGAGAGAGGAGCAGAGACGTGAGCGCCTAGCCTGGAAAAGCCCCGCAGGGGGGCTCTGTCGCTGAGAATGACCTAGCAGGTCCCTGTTCCAACATAAGGAGGCCTTTTATTTATGTGACAAACATTTCCAGGCAAAACATGACAGGGGCTCCTTGAGCAGTGGGTAGGCACTCACCAGACCGTCCTTTAAAAATGGAAATGTAGGCTGGCGTTTGAAGGAATCATTGTTGTCGTCTCTCAGTAACTTTCCATAGAGTCGATTAGGTCAATGAAGTGTCTTCAGGCACGTGAGATAACAGTCATAATAGACAGCATTTATCCCACATCTCCTATGTGCCGGGCAAGACCCAAGTCCATGCTTTAATCAACTGACTCCTCACAACGACCCTCTAAGAGGGGTAATATTGTCCCATTTAATGGGTGAGAAACTGAGGCACAGGTGGGTTACACCGCTGACCCAGGGCTCACAGCTGGGAGCGGAGGGACTGGACTTGGACACAAGAAGTCATCTGTGTGAACTACCCTCTTGTCTTCCACCAAACTCTTACAGGTTAGTTCTTCACTCCCTCGAAGCTTTGCTCCCCACAGGATCTTATCTCATCTTCGCAGAAGCTCCCTGCAGGCTGAATTTTTACCTCCAGGCAAGGAAATGGACTCAAGGAAGGAGGCTAAGTGACTCACACAGTGGTCGTCCTGCTCAAAAGGACTACCCTGTCCTCAGCTCAGCATCCCCCCGCCCGGCCAGGCTTTCTTCAAGGCCTTCTCCACCATGGACATACTAGTGACTGTACTTATTTATCTTGCTTAGGTTTGTCTCTTCCACACCAGCACTGAAGCCCTTGGGTGCAAGGATTTGTGTTCACTGTGTATGTAGAGCAAAGCTGCCTCATGGTAGGCACTCGAGAAGTATTTGTTGAATGAAAAAGAAAAACTAATAAATGCATGCATGTGGAAAGAAGGGGTGAGGGGTAGTGGTCAAGACATATGACCAGTTGGTCCGGGTCTCCCAGCTCTCCCCGTGAAGTCTGATTTGCCCCCAGCACCATCCTCCTTCTGGGTAGCCATGAACTGTCTCCCAGGCCCTTTCTCAGGCCCTACCTCCACCATCCTCTCCACTCCTACAGGTGCTGGCGGTGGGGTTGTGGGGCAGGGGATACAACCACAGGGTCCTCCCGGGGATCCTAGAGGAGAAGGGCCACCTCCGGGGCTGTCCAGTGTGCAGTGGCCTGCCTCACACTGGAGCAGATCTCCCAGCTCACCACTTTTCAGAGACGGGCTTCATGGCTCCCCGAGGGCAGAGCTTGAAGTCATCAGGACACCACCAGCCCACCGTCAGACCCTCTGAGGAGACCAGAGTCCCCGTTTGAAGTGTCCTGGTGCAGGGGACAGGGCTCAGTAGTCTGATAAGCCTCGACCTGAATCCTGGCACTGCACTTCTTGGCTGTGTGATCATGAGCAGGTTGCCCAACCTCTCTGGGCCTGAGTTTCCCCATCTGTGAATGGGTCTAATACTTACCTAACAGGGTAAGTGTGATATTTTTATCAAAAGAGCTTAAGCACCAAGCTCATGTCAGGCACAGCTGTGTACCTGTACTCCCGTGCCCTCCCGCACCCTCATTAGGCCCTGGGACACTGCTACCATGTTCTGTTGGCCAAAGATGTTTTGTGGCCCTATCTCTTTTTGTCCTGGGCCTTCGATCCCCAGACTCTCCAGGACCTGGAGGTCCACACACGAGAAGCGTCCTCTCCTCTGCAACAGGGGAGACGCCTCTTCTCATCTCGAGGGATTCCGAGGAAAATGAGCAACCCACTCCTTCTCTAGAGACACTTCCTCTTTCCCACAGCCTCAGATGTGCAAGACCAGAGCCTCAGCTCGGTGGAGAGGAACTTCCTCAGCTCGGCTTCTGAGGAAATGCTCTCAAGCCATTCAACAAATAAGTCTCCAGGGCACCAAGAGCTTCCTCGCCCCTTCCTCTATCTCTCCCTCCCTAAGCAATGTGGTCACACTACAAGGGCATCAACCCCGTCAACCACACTCCTCTCTTTGATTTCAGCAAATCCTGTCCATGCACAAAATTTAAAACAAGTGGTTTCTTGCCCAAAGCAGAAGTCTCCAAGTCTCTGAGGAACAGAGAAAAGAAGGGCCTGGGTCTGGGGTGAGGGGAGGGGATGGAAGAGAAAGAAAGAGGAGAGGAAAGAAACAAGAAGGATAAAGCTTACTGGGCTCCCACCATCCGTCAGGCACTGTGCCAGGCTCTGGGATTTAAACATGAGTTAAGACGTGGTGCCCTGTCCTCCAAAAGAGACGTCTGGTGAGGGAGAGAGTCAGGAAGCAGAGCTGGCCCATGGGAGATGCTCCCATGCAGCTAGGAGAACAAAGAAAACAGAGAGCTTAGGGCAAGACAGCAGCAGACATTGCAGAGATGGGAAAGCAGGGAGCCCCGGCCCGTGGAGTAGGCGCTCTTTGTCTTGGTACAGATGTTGTTGGTGGAACACTGCTTTGCTGTTTTGTGACCTGAGCCCAGAGAACCCGCACAGGGAACCAGCTGAGATAATCTGTCAGGGGGTGGGGGACTCGGGGATGCTTGGAGATACAGGAGTCATTTGTCCCTGCCAAGTTGGTGTAGGGTCAGTGAGAGAATTGGGAGGGACCTGGGACCCTCCTGCTCCAGCAGGCTGCAGGTGGTGGAAGAAGAACAGAGGCTCTGAATGAGACGGATCTAGGCTCCAAGCCCAGCCACACCAGGGACCAGCTGGGCAGGGGCCAGACCGCCAGTGTCACATCCAGACTCTGCTAGTTATTAATTGGGTGAACTTGGGTGTGTGACTTAACCCCAGTTTCCACATTTGAAAGGAATCACAGATGGTGATTATAGCATCGTTCTCATGGAATCTTTGGAGGATTCAGTGCAAAGATCTGGTAATCCACTTAGCATAGAAAGAGCCTGGCTGGGGTAAGTTTCGCATAATGTTTAGCTGTTATTATGGATTAGGGCACGGCGGGCTCTCTGAAGAGTATTTCTCAGTCACATGCAGGTACACATTCGTGCTTTTTGGAGTTTCTATCAGGGCTAGATAGATCACACGTGGAAGATGCCTAAAACCGAGTAGTTCCTCAGTAGTGAGGGTCCCTCTCCTCTACCCCTTCAGGGTGTTCCTGAATCCCTGGAAGTGGAAGGAAGCTTGGAACAGGCCATGAGGGGCCTCTGAGCATTTGGGGCTGGAGCTCCTCCCATTGTAACAAGATATTTGGCTCCATGGCGGCCTGCAGGCACCCTCGGCAATACAAAACATGGAGAACTGCCCCCAGGTGGCTCTACTAGAGGATTTGGGAGCATCTTGGAGAGGTGTGCATCATTCCAGCTTTGAAAAGTATCACGAAACCACTTTGCCTTTTCTCTCCCAGGAACCCATCAGCCTGGGGAAATCAAGGCAACGAAGACTTGAAGGTGACAGAAGAGCAGCTAATTCGAGCTCTTGCTTCCCCACAGGGATGGAACCAGAAACCGGAAGGGCATGACACTCACTAGACTGAGCTGCCAAACGAATGGCATAATCGCTCCCACTCAGAAACTTCTCCAAGAAAGTCTCCCGGGATGGAGAGAGCCAAGAAAGGCTGAGCTCCTCACTGGTCAGCTGGATTCCCTTGGCCACTAAGAAACTCTCTCCCAGAGGGAACCAAGAACTGTTGGAAGCCAAGACAATCTCTTCCGTTTCTTTAATGAACCGCAGGACACGAAGCTTCGTTTCCTCACAAGAGCCAGGACCTAGAGGAATAAAGACATCATAGATGGATTCACCTACCACATATAGCTCCCTTGGACCCCTTGGAAGTATGCACATATGCACACACACATTTCTGCCTCAGCCGTTTCCTTCACCCCAGCTCCTTTCACAGCTTGGAATGTTCTTTCTGCTTTGCCTCCACAATTTCATTCACTCAACATTTATGGAGGACCTACCATGTAAGATTAGTAATAGCTAACGTTTACTCCATGCCAGGCATTGTACTCAGCACATCTACACAAACAATCTAATTTAATCTATGCAACAGCCCAACAGGATATTATTCTTATCCATGTGTTTCAGATAAGAAACTGAGGCATGGAGAAGTCACATATCTTAAACAAGCTCCTAGCTAGCAACTAGTTGATTCAGAATTCCAGTCTAGTCACTATAACTCTGCAACCAGCAATCTTGACCAGCTGCCTCTAATGGAAGGATGGACAGATGGATGGATGGATGGGTGGATGGATGGATGGATGGATGCATGCATGCATGCATGGATGGATGCATGGATGGATGCATGGATGGATAGTTGAATAGATTGGGGAGTGGATGGATGAATGGATATCAAAACTCGAAGGGAAGCATTGTGGGTTAGCAGAGAGTTATTTTTGTAAGGAGGAAAGAGCATGCTCTCAGAGACCTCTGGGTTCAAATGCCAGCTAGAACACTTATTAGCTATGTGATTTTGGATAATGTGCTTAGCTCTTTTGAGTTTCAGGCTTGTGATCTGTGAAATGGGGATAACTGGGGCATCCACCTATAGGGATTTTGTAAGTATTCTACGAGGTGTTGCAGCTGAAGTGCCTGGCACGGTGTCTGGCCCGTGTTGTCCTCGAAATTGTCACTGCTAACAAAAGCCACCCTAGACATATTTATTTCAACCAATCACATTGTGAATTAAACAAGGAATGTGGTCAGTGGATTCTTGTGAGAGCATAGGAACAGCAGAAACCCTTGACTTCTGGGATGTGAAGACATTGCTTTCTGGGGATGTTTTTGATCAAATACTCTATTCTATCAATCCCAGCAATTTGGAATGCCTGAAGCAAAAACTCACATTTAAAGATCTATGCTTGCTCTCCATTTCTTCCAGAATAGAATGAAAATTCAGTAACTGGACACGGAAGGCCTTTTAAAATCTGGCCCCAATTTACCATTAGCCTCTCCTTCCATTATTCCCTCCTAAGTCCCCTCTCTAACTACCACATTGATCTTTTCCCCACCCCATTCCCAGCAAAGCAGACCTTTTCACAGCTTCCCTGACTTGACATATACTATTTCCTCTGCCAGGAAGGGCCTGCCACACATTTTTGGCTGGACAAATATCCATCACGACCCAGAAGCTGATGCCATGCAAATCTTTACCCAGTTCCCCAGTCAGTGAGTACCCCCCTCTCTGGGCATCTGCCATTGCATTTTATGTCTTCCTACTTCTGTTCTACTATTTCAGTTTATTATTCACCTAATGTCACGTCAGTTTCCCCCACTGGCCTCTCTGCCCCTAAAGGGCATGTACCACACCTTTTTCACAACTGTCTCCTCATCCCACAGCACAGTGCACACAGTGGGTGGTCCATAAGTGTATTAAATGAAAAAAGCAAAATTTGAAACAGGCCAGAGACAGTGATATGGGACCTGACAGGACCTGACCTCGTACCCTCAGAGGCATCATCCTTGCATATGTGTAGGAAGTTATTGGTCACTTCATTACATACTACCAATTGTATTAGTCTAGTTATTTATTAATTACTTTCTGTATACCAGGTCTGGCACTTTACATCTATTATCTTTTATAATTCTCAGACCAGTCCATTTGAGGTAGTTACTTGTCATAACTCAGATTTCACAGATGAAACTAAGACTGAGAGGAGTCACATTCCTCTAGCTCCCAGAGTAGTACGTGACAGACCCAGAATTCAAGACAACTGATCTGTCCTCCAGGTCAGTCCTTCTCAAGCTTCAGGGAGCACTGGATCCACCTGGGGATATTGTGGAAATGCAGATTTTGACTCAGCAGGTGGGGTCCAAGATTCTGAATTTCTAACAAGTTCCCAAGGTAACACTAATGCTGCTGAACCGCACTTTGAGTATCAAGGCTCTGAACCAACAGTCACCAAACCCTTTTGATAATATACCCCTATCAACAAAAGAGTTCGAGCATGCACCCCCAAAATATGTGTATTTCTTTATTTATAAAGCATGCACATGTACCACTATAATAATATACTAGGTACTGTTTTCCCAAATGTTTCAGCTGTTAGCACTTAATTGCAAAAAAAAAAAAAAATAGGAATTTAAAAGGAAGAGATAAAATACCAAATACAGATGAAAGTTCTAATACTTGCTTCCCAGTGGGTTGCCTTGTACACCCAGTTGTCTACTCTAGACAGTCTGTCGTTATTCAATGAAAAAACCCGTATATTCTAAGCCTTGTTCTAATGCTTTGTCCAACATTCAGGCCAAGGCGAGTAACACTAGCTACTAAAGTTATTAAGCACTTTTGGTATCAGCAACTCAGGCCCCAAAAATCGGTTCCAAAAAGGACCAAATTCAGTCTTAAAGCACCTAAATTCTAGGAGTGTCCCCATGCAGCAGACCTGACCATTGGTATAGAGAATCTCAAAAAATAAATAAGACTTCTTGTGTAACAGTCATGTCAATATCTATCTGGTGACTTTGAGGTTCAGCCTATTGCTATAACTTGACATTTTAATGGAGAATCCTAGTAGTGGGGTCTCCAGGCTGTACAAAATGCCCAGGGCATTACTGTTCTCATCAGATATTCCTATCGCCCAATGTTCTAAAAACCCACTTGTTGCTAAAGCCTAAACTTTGGCTAATATCAAAATAGTCCGATTAATTTTAACATTATCCTGAAAGGTCTGGACCATGTTGAACATTGCAAAGAATGAACTGAGTTATTTCACTGGACTCGAGCAGCCATAATATTACCTGTAATATTAGCCACTGCTGGTTAAGGAGCATCTGGTTTGATAATAACAGTGTTAAATCTGTCTGGTTGTTCTTTCAAACTGCTGGTATGGCTATTTGGTGATAAGGCATTTTAATTTAAGACACAGAGTCAGCCCCATTCTGTTTATGCCTCATACTCTGCAGCTCTAAGTCCAGCTGCCACAAAGCTGAACTTACAAACTTCCTTCAGCAGCTCTCCAATTAGCCCTTTAATTAACCCCCTCAAGTAAATTCAAGGCACTTTGAAGGCAAAAGGACTTCCTGAGGTCCCAAAGTCCTTGTAAGTAGCAAGACCATCATAATATGTGTTGGTTAATCAAAGGGTGCACCTACCTTATGAGAGATTACCAAAGCATTTGCCAGGGAGGGCAAGAGCCAGGTCATATTCACTTTATAGCCTTTAGAGGGCCTAAGATAACACTTTGCACACATTGATTTAAATACAGTCATGTGTCCCTTAACGACAGGGATATGTTCTGAGAAATGCGTCGTTAAGCAATCTCATCGTGCGAATAACATAGAGTGTACTTACACAAATCTAGATGGTATATCCTACTACACACTAGGCTATATAGTACTAATCTTATGGGACCACCATCATATATGCAGTCCATTGTTGACCGAAACGTCATTATGCGGTGCATGACTGTAATCGATTATGTGAAAATTTTAAAATGAACTACATTGACTTTGCCAACACCTGACTGTGTAGATGTGGGGAAATCACTCCCCTTCTATGAGCCTTGGCGTTATGGACTGAATGTTTGTGTTCCCCTAAAATTTCTGTGTTTAAGCCCTAACCCCAATGTGATGGAATTTGGTGGTGGGACCTTTGGGAGGTGATTAGGTTTAGATGAGGTCCTGAGGGTGGGGTCCTCATGATGGGATTAGTGTCTTTATAAAAAGATGAGGAAACCAGAACCCTTTCTCCCTCTGCCATGTGAATACACAGTGAGAAGGTGGCCACCTGCCAACCAGGAAGATGACTCTCAGCGGGAACCAAATCTGCCAGCACCTTGATCTTGGACTTCCACCCTCCAGAACTATGAGAAATGAATGTCTGTGGGTTAAACCATCCAGTCTATGGTATTGCGTTATAGCAGTCCAACCTAACTAATACATTTGCTTTCCTCAAATATACATTGAAGGAATGAAACTGGCCATATCTAAACTCGACTTCAGCTTTGACACTCAATGCCCTCCCACCACCCATCCGTTTTTTTTTTTTAACAATTTTATTTCAAGCAATAGTTACAGGATTGCATTTTTTTTTTTTTTTGTGAGGAAGATCAGCCCTGAGCTAACATCCCTGCCAATCTTCCTCTTGTTTGCTGAGGAAGACTGGCCCTAAGCTAACATCTATGGCCAATCCTCCTCCTTTTTTTCCCTTTTTCTCCCCAAAGCCCCAGTAGACACTTGTATGTCATAGTTGCACATCCTTCTAGTTTCTGTATGTGGGACGCCGCCTCAGCACGACCAGACAAGCGCTGCGTCGGTGCGCGCCTGGGATCCGAACTCAGGCTGCCAGTAGTGGAGCACGTGCACTTAACCACTAAGCCACGGGGCCGGCCCCCACCCATCCTTTTTCAAGAAGCACAAACTCAGCTCTTCACATCATGTAACTCACATGCTGGGACCTTGTTTGGCTCAGCCCGTGTTCCTTCCAGTTCTTGACCAGCCTCATCCACACACCAGCAGCTCCGAAGGTCCAAATGTGCCAAAGGAAGGCTGAAGTCTGAGTAGGGCCCTGGGTATCGGCTGAGCTCGCCATGTAGGATCTGCCAAAAGAGGTAGGGCTCCAGGAGGATGTTCTCTCCAGGCTGGATCAGCTTCCCTTCCAACACTGCCAGTGGGACATCTTGGAGAGAAGAGTATCTTGCCAGCCCTGGGAAGATGCGTTGTTGGCCAGCTTCATACAGACTTTGAATAAAGAGACGGAAGCTTCTGGAAGCTGCTTCTCTATAGTCCATGATCTTCACTAGCAGTTCAGCAGGGGACAGCTCCTGGCCGCCATTGTTCTGAGCCTCCCATCGTTCGTACCACTCGAAGGCCTGCTCAGGGGGCCCGTCGCATTGCACACGTCTCCACTGCCCATTGGTGCTGCACTGTGGAATGTAGATGCTGGAGAGGGTGGGTGGCATGCTGGAATTAGAGACTAGGGCCCGCACTGCCACAAGGAAGTCTTGCTCTGCCTGTAACTGACAGGGCGTGGGGCCTGGGGAGGAACAAAGCACAGGTGTGTCAGGTTAAGAAGTTCAATGACCCCAAAAAACCAAGATGAAAGCCCTTAACTGTCCAAATTCCATCTAAAACCCATAGAAACCCATAGAAATCCCATCATCCTTAAATTTGTAAACAACTTCTAGACAGAGAGCATCCCCATCACTAAATCAGCCCTGTTGAGACCAGCTGTTGTCAGCACTGCACAAATATATGTGGCAATTCCTTAAGGTCAAATAAATCTCCCTACTCACTCATTAGAATGGTTACCATTATCAAGACTTTTCTGGACAATTTTTAGTTAACCAGCAAATTTTACCATTAGCAGAAGTTTGGGCTTTAGCTATGACCAAATTCTTTTTTCTGTAATGCATTGTTTCAGGGCCCCAAGAGAGAATCAGAGTCTGTGGATTTAACAGACTTACATTGCTTGGGTTCTTCAGGTAGGCTTCGAGTTCCAGGAATAGGCTGACCCTCAGCGTCAACACAGTAGCACTCTGAGTTGAAGCACTGGACAGGAAGAAAACGCCCCTCGCTGGTACACGAAGGGACAAACAAGCTGGACCCAGCAGGCTGGCTACTCGACAGGCTTTGCATGCGAGCCCTTTGCTTTTCACACTCTGTGGGGCACCTGGGTCGTCCACCTCTAACCCTCGAGCCGGGGAGTTCTTTGCCGCGGGAATCCACACACCAGCACTCTCCAGCAAAGCACTGGACATCCTCATAGCTTCCTTCTGCAGTGCATGACGGGACAAAAAGGCTGCCAGCTGTCTGCTCACAGCCCTGGGAGCTGAGCACCACTTCCATCACATCACCTAAATCCCTTGCTACGTCTTCTGGCACAGAAATAGCATGCTGCAAGAAGAGAAGGAATTCTGGAAGCTCCAGGAGAGAAGAAAGGAATTTCAGGGCATTTTGGTTCTCTTGTAAGTTGATTTCAAAGCCAAAGCTGCCCACAATGGGCTTATTCATAGCAACACCCTTCTTAGAGGCTTCGGGGGTTTCTGTGGCAGGATTTGAATCCAATCCCACAGAGAGGGGCTCAGCTAGATCTGCTAGTGCCCCTCCATTCTGGAAACCTGGGAGACCAAATTGCTGGAAAAATTGACTGAAGTTAAATGTGCCTCTTGTGCCAAGGGCTCCAGACAAGTTAAACCGGCCAACATTCACCAAAAATTTCCCTCCAAAGAGGTTTTGCTGGAGTCGCTTTGGGTTGGTGGTAAACTGAAGGGCAAGACGAGCCAGCTCTCGGGAGGGAAAAATCGCTCTGACGGCTTCTTGGAGGAGACTTTCTGAGGCGGAAAACTGTTTATCCTGCCCTTCTACCATTGGGTGGAGAATCCCAGAGTCCACAAAGAGCTCCTTGATCAAGGGTGGGCAGGATGTGGTAAATCTGGCTACCTTCTGAGAGACCTGTTGTTTCTCAGGAGCCAAGAACAAGTTGTGCCGGCTGAAGTAGCCCGAAGGCCCAAAGTGGAGTCTGGACAGGGCCTGCCGCCTCTCAGAGGTGCAGGATTGGTCTTCAGCTGCACAGAGCAAATGGGAAAAATGGTTTTAACATCACAAGTAATCCTGAGACAACCCTTCAGATCTTTCTGGAGTAAGATGTCAAAAAATTCAATCAAGGCCACCTACATTTTGTACCTCTTTCTTCTCTGTATCCTTTATTGTTTCTTTCCCTCTGAGCAGAGTCTGTGGTGGCCATTTGGGGGAATAAGTATTTCAGTTGACGTAACTGCCTCTCCTAGCTTTTACTAGAGGGTGACCCCTTCTAAGGCCAGGCTCACAGACACCAGCCTACTTTCTGGAAACCTGACCACACACTTGCACCAACTCTTGTGGGTTGCTTGGTGCCCCCAACCCACCCCCCGCCTCCTACACCCAAAGTTCGCGTTCACTTGGAACCTCAGATTGTGACCTTATTTGGAAATAGAGTCTTTGCAGATGTAATTAGTCTTAACTAATGAGGGTGGGCCCTAAATCCAATGACTAGTGTCCTTATAAGAAGGTCGTATGATGACACAGAGAGACACACACAGAAGAAGGCCATGTGAAGACAGAGGCAGAGATTGGAGTCATGCAGCTGTAAGCCCAGGATCGCCATCAACCACCAGAACTAAGAAGGGGCAAGGAAGGATTCTTCCCTAGAGCCTTCAGAGGGAGCTGCCCTTGCCAACACCTTGATTTCAGACTTCTGGCCTCTAGAACTGTGAGAGAATATATTTCTGCTGTTTTAAGCCACACAGCTTGTGGTAATTTGGTAAGGCAGTCCCAGGAAACTAATATACCAACAAATTCTTATTTGTTTTTAATGAAATGTTGTTTCCCAGCATCTCTTGTTGGAATTCTTAATGGACTTTCATGCTTCATTATATGCTCTTCATGTGGCTGCCTAATTCCTCCTTGTGTGTTGCCTTGTCTAGGCTAACTAATTTATAGTCTCTTTGAGGAAAAGAACCATACTTTAAATGCTATTAGTATTTCCTATAATAAGAAATATTTTCCTATGTTGAATAATTAACATTATAATATAATACAATGATGCCCACTTGGCAAACACACTTAGTACATTCTTCTAGGCTTCTTGACGTTTCCTTGAAATTACTAATTAAACAGTGATCCACTCAGTCAACTCCATGCTTGGTCAGATCATTTTATCTGATACGCTAGGGTGACTGTAATCACATTAAGAAATTTTTAAATTCAAATTCCAAGTGTCTCAGTCACAAAGGTGGAAGTAAGTAAGCTCCATTTTTCTCCACGAAACCATAAATCTTAGAGGTTTTCAACCACCCACCCACTCCCAACTTTTAAAATAATTCTTTCCCTTTGGTTCACATGGATGCCAAAAAGGAAGTCAGCCAATTTCCTTCTGTAACCAGGCAACAGAGAAAGAACTGGAACGTGTGGTCAGACAGAAGGAACAAAAAGACTGGCAACATCAGAACACATAACACATCCCTCAACGGGGCCCTGGCTTCCTCTAATGGATGTTACGGGAAGGTGTGCAAGAAACAAAGTTCACCGCTTTGCTTATTCTTTTTCCAAATTAAGAGCATGTCCCTTCCATTCATTTGTTATGTAGCATTACCAAGGCAAAAAAATTCAGATATTGGTTCCATGTGGTGTTTGTTTCCACGGAAATCGGACTGATATACTAGATAGAGAAAATAAAACTATATGATCCATGCATTTGGTAGAACTTTTGGTTTTAATTTGGAAAACCACCATTCTTCATTTCCACCTGGAAATTGGAGGGCACAATATTCTCTAGGTTTTAATAAAATGTAATTGTAAATACTTTCAAGGCAGAGCTTCAAAAGTTTCTTCTTCTACATTCTCTATTTATCCTCTACCAACCTCCTAGCAGAGAGAACACTACCAAACATGCAGAGTACTCCAAATATTAAGTTGGAGAAATCAAATGATTTAACGGGAACGGTTGAACGAATATTAACACACATCTATTTTGAGGCTATAAAAAGACCTGCACTCCTCCTTCACTGTTTCAATTCTTGCTGAATCCATCCAGCTCACCCAATGGGAGGCCCGCGAGGGCTCCTGGCTTCCTCCCCTTCCCTCACCACTAACATCCCGCAGAATCTCACTGGTAAGATGGAATGGAGTCTTACTGGAATGCCTAGCGATGTTTCTCAAGTCCACACCCTTCTCCTCAGCCTACTGCTTCTCCTTTAGTACTGGTTCCCATACTGGGTTGAATAGTGTCTCTCCAAAATTCATGTCCTTCCTGCAACCTCAGAATGTGACCTTATTTGGCAAAGGGTCATTGTAGAAGGAATTAGTTAAGCTGAAGTCACACTAGAGTGGAGTGGGCTCTCAGTCCTCTATCACTGGTGACATAGGAAGCAGAGAAGAGACACAGAGGCAGACACAGAGGGACGACAGCCATGTGACGACAGAGGCAGAGTTTGGAGTCATGCTGCCACAAACCAAAGCATGCCAAAGATTGTCAGTAACTACCACAAGCTAGGAAGAGGCAAGGAAGGATCCTCCCCCGGAGCCTTCAGAGGGAGCATGGCCCTTGATTTCTGGCTTCTAGCCTCCAGAACTGTGAGAGAATAAATTTCTGCTGTTCTAAGCCATTCAGTTTGTAGTAATTTGTTACGGCAGCCCCAGGAAACAAATGCAGCCCCTCATCCCTCTTTAGGACATTGCAATGACCTTCAAAATGGCCCCATTGCCTGCAGTCTGATGCTCCTTTCAATCTCTCCTCCAAAATGCCTGGGCGATCTTTCTTACACACAAAACCCATCATGGCACTCTCCAGCTTAAAACCCCTCAACATCGTCACCTGACCTCCAAGATGAAGCCCCAAGCCTTTGTCATGATCTGAAAGACCTCATTGTCCTACCCCTGCCTTTTCCTCAGTCTTAAAGTTCAAAGCACCACCCTGATCATACTCCAACAATTTTTTTGTCTATTCTTCCTGCAGACTCAGTGTCCACTAGCATATCAATGCCTATTATTTACGTCCTTATAGTTTTGCTTCTCCTGCTCTATACATAGGGAACACCTCTCCTTATTCTCCACCTTCAGGAAACATCTGTGTTTGAGAAGACTCAAATCAAGTGTCATTTCTTCCGTGAAGCCTTCCTGAATGTCTCCTCTCCATATACGCTGCAAGATAGAATTGACCCCACCCTGCTTTGTGCTCCTTTAGTTACCAGTACACATCTCTCTCATGGCACATGTAAATGTAGTTCTCTTTTCTTTTTCTTCACCTGTATGGCTCGTAATATTCTCTGAGCTCCCTGAGGGAGCAGCTATGTCTGACACAGGATGAGAAACACGTTGGAAGTCAATGACGGTAAATGAGTTTTTCATCGTGTTGAACTGGAAGGGCCTGTGGGGCACACTCAGGAGGCTGTGGGATTAATGGGTTCTGGAGTGGTCGGTCTGGAGAAACAGTTAAAGTAATACAACCAAAAGAGACCAAAAGAGACCAAAAGAGGAAGCCCTTGAGAGGCAACCCACCACAAGATGGCGGCGCCCCTCGCCGCCGAGTTCCGTAGATCTCCCTTCCTTGGGCATCCACACACCAGCAGGGCCCTTCCCTCTGGCACTGCACTGCCTGGTAGTCCCCATTTCGGCGGCAGCTCGGAATGTAGGGGTGACCAAAGCTGGTTGCTGTAAACTGCTCCACTTCACATTTTGTGGGGCCTAGGAGAAATCCACGCAGCAAAGAAGACAGCGTGTAAACAACGCTTGATGTGCTTACAGCATGCATTCTGTTTGCTGTTAAAATATTTAAAATCCCTGCACCCACTTTAATGGAACAGCCATGGAGACTACAGCAACATTAAAACCCAAGTGGTTTCCTCCTAGCAGAAACAGGCACATCTGTTTTCGGCTTCTTACTTACAGCGGAATCTGCCAGAGGTGACTAGTTGAACTGCTAGGAACCGTCTCTGCAATATCCGGTACAGGGTGGTTTCAGAGAAGGTGGAAGCGAGGTCCAGGCCAGCAAAAATGGTGTCGTAAATTTCATCGAGTAACAGCTCCAAACCTGAGCAAAGGCAGCAAGTGTTTCAAGGGAGGGGTTCATTCAGAAAAGAAATCCTGACCTTGCCATGCAAACAGATGTTAAGAGGGCCAGAGCCTTCACTGGCATCATTATGCATTGAGTCTGAGCAAGACTTGAATGGTTTTCCAAGTCAGGGCTGCTGTGTATCATTGTGCAGGTTGTTCACAGCACAAAGGAGCTCTGCTGAGAGAGTGAGAGGAGACTGAAATCCAGCCCGTGCTCCACTCACCAAGCTCAGAGCTGCTACTGCCCAGAGGGCAGCTCCTCTTCCCACTATGCACAAAGGCACTATATGGACCAGCAGCAGCTGTGTTCAAAGTACCCCAGATGAAAACTCTGATTACCATGCCCTCTTCCATACCCACGCAGCCTGGCAGGGGAGCAGGCAGCCACTGCCGTTTCTGCGTTGCAGGTAATGCCATTTAGGTCTCAGACCTCGTGAATGCCACTCTCACCCACCCCACCCCCCACCCAGATTGCCTGAGTGTGCTTACCTGTCTCAGCCAGTTCCCGCCCTTGACTGTCAGCACAGTGACAATACCCAGACACCTCGGGGAACATGCTCCGGAAGGTACTGAAGGTCACAAATGCACCTGGAAACCTACGAGACAACGAGATTGATGGTCACCATTTCAGGAAAGGAAAGTCATCATGAGCTCTTATTTCTGTAGACATAAATAAAAGTGGTCTCACTTCATCTGGGGAAAAGCGATGTCTGATTTTTGATCTCGTGCCATTTGCTCCGAGCTCCCTACAGTAAATGTATTTCTTTTCCAAACTGGCTTCATCTGGCCAGAGCTGGGCTGGACACGTTAAAATAAAGCTGTGCTTCGCTGTCAGCTACTAATTAGCTGTTTTCAATTCTCCTGGCATTTGATCAGTTTATACCCACGCATGTGTCTTGTTGGATCAGGTGGAAAACACGTAATGAACATGGCATTAACTAGTCCCTTTACTAGAATAGAACGCTAGAGACTGGAGGCCGAGTTTGCTTTACAAACATATGGTCCATCATAGATGATCTCATTCTGGCAGATCAAACCACTTCAGAGCCCTGTACAACTTTTCAAGAGCTTGAAAGGAAGCCAGATTCCACCACAGGAAATTCTTAAGAAGGACATTTCCCAGTTCCAGACTTCAAAACACACAAAATCAATCTGACATCACTAACAGGGGCTATACATCCTTTTCCATAAGTTGAGGACAAGTCTGCCTCAATCATGTCTGATTGGGCAATTCCTGTAAGGAGTTAATTGGCTGGGTTCCCCATCCTGGAGGTAATATGGAGCTTAAGGATGCAAAGCCACGTGAAGGAGTTCTTCTCGTGTGCAATGATTTAGCAACCACGGAGGATTTTTTCATCTTTATGCAACATGGAGAGATTTGTTTCTATGCCCTATATAGCAAGTGTATGAGAACCAAGCATAACGTGTTTCTGCTTATGTCTGGAAATATATCTGCAAACAATCAGGTAGCAGAAGCAGCAGCTCTCTGCACAGACAGGTCTGCTGCTGTATTAGTCTATTCTAGCAAAATCTTGAAAACAACCTAAATGTCCAATGACATTTCCTTCTTAATTAAGGAAAATTAAGAAGTAAATTACAGTAAATCCCCTAAATGGGTGCATGCGTAACGTTATATAAAAAGGTTAAAAGTATGGACATTTCTCAAAAGATTAAGAATAGAAATACCATATGATCCAGCTATTCTACTTCTGGGTATTTATCCAAAAAACATGAAAACACTAATTCAAAAAGTTACATGCACCTTTATGTTCCTTGCAGCACTACTCACAATAGCCAAGATTTGGAAGCAACCCAAGGGCTCATCAAAAGATGAATGGATAAAGATGTGGTGTGTGTGTATATATATAGGCAACGGAATACTACTCGGCCATAAAAAAGACAAAATCATGCCATTTGCGACAACATAGATAGAACTTGACGGTATTATGCTGAGAGAAATGTCAGACAGAGAAAGACAAACACCATATGATTTCACTTGTATGTGCAAGATAAACAAACACATTGATAAGGAGAACAGATTAGTGGTTACCAGAGGGGAAGGTGGTAGGGGGAGGGTGAAAGGGGCAAAGGGGCACACGTGTATGGTGATGGATAAAAACTAGACTATTGGCGGTGAACACCATGCAGTCTATACACATGGTGAATATAATAACATACACTTGAAATTTACACAATGTTATAAACCAATACAACCTCAATAAAATATTTTTTTAAAAAACAGGTTAGAATACAAAATGGCCTGTACAAACACTACAGTCACAACTATGCACATGACCCAGGACTGGAAGGCAATTTATTGTGCAGGAGCTGCTCAGAGTCTGAATATGGAGGGGGAGCCAACAAGTATCAGTTAATTTTAATGGAAATGAATATGCAAAATAAAACCTATGAAAGCATGATAAAATTATGGATGTGATTTCCAGGTTGCTGATCTATTATTGTGTGTGAGCTAAATAAAAAAGAATGCTATAGTAAGTGACTTATGCATAATAAAAACTAAAAACACTTTGCCCAATAGCCACTGATTGGAGATATACAATAAAAGTTCATTGATTGGAACCTGGGATAATTCAATTCAAAAAGCGCTTGGGGCTGGCCCAGTGGCGAAAGCGGTTGGGTGCGCACGCTCCGCTGCGGCGGCCCAAGGTTCGCCGGTTTGGATCCCGGGCGCGCACAGACTCATCGCTTGTCAGGCCATGCTGTGGCGACATCCCATATAAAGTGGAGGAAGATGGGCATGGATGTTAGCCCAGTGCCAGTCTTCCTCAGCAAAAAAAAAAAAAAAAAAAAAGATGAGGATTGGCAGATGTTAGCTCAGTGCCAATCTTCCTCGCAAAAACAAAAATGTGCTAATAATAGTATAATAATCGCTTGCATTTATTGAATACTACTTAGTAAAAGACAATCTGCAAAATTTTTAATATATATTGACTTGTTTAATCCACTTAACACTCCTAAAAGGCAGGTGGTATTTTCTCAGCCCTATTTTAGAGGCTAGGAAGGCAAGGTATGTGGGCCACCATCTTTAAATAATGGTTCAAATCCAGGTCTTACCCACTGTGATACCTACCTTTCCAATGGTGTTACTCAGTGTGTATTTGGCTGTTCCTGGTTCCTGCCCCATATCCTGAAAGGCATGTGACTCTGTTCTGTTCTGACACTCTTCTCTGTATGCCCACCACCGAGCTTTTCCTGGCATCTAATGGATGTTGAAGACGTGCTGAGTGGGTGCATTGATGGGTCACCTGGCCAGCCCGAGGTTCTGAAACCCATGCCAGCATGAGCACAGGAAGTGTAAATCACTCTAGTCCCATGTTCTGCTGATTCAACTTAGAGGCCCACCTCAACATTCCATCCCAAGGCCATTGCGACCAGCAGGATCTCTGAGCTATCTTCATCCCACCACTTTAGGGTCAGAGACCTTCTCTCTGGGTTTCTGATCTTCTAAGCTGCCTAGTACCTGGGCCTCCCTGGGCTTTTCGCATGGACCTCACTCTCAACATCCCCCCTTCCTGCCTACTGGAGAACACCATGGCTTTAGCGGGAGGAAGGATCTTCCCGGGGACCACCTTAAAGCCAGCTACTGCCACCGGGACTCTCTAGGGCTCCTCTGCTCACCTCTGGGCAGACATTCTGCACTGTCGTCTCTAGTCCCTCCTTGTCAGTCTGTCTGCAGTGAAAAGAGCCAAGGGCCTGGAACCAGGCATATCAGAGTTCCACTCACGGCCCAGCCACATATGATTATCTCTATTCATTACTACTCATAAAAATAGTAACAGGTGACGTGTGTTGAACAATCAGACACTACACCAAGCATTCTCTGTATTTTATCTTATTGAATCCTCAGGACAACCCTTAAAAAGATCCACTCACAAATGAGAAAACTGGGATTCCGAGTGGTGAACTGACTGGTTCAAGACCACCCAGCCAAAACCAGCCAGGTGTCCTGAGCGCACTGCCGATGCCCTTTCAGCAGCAGCAGCGGGCCGGGTTGGGAGGCTACCACTTAAATAGGCCACAGTCGTTAGGTTCCTGCCCTGCCATCAACAGTAAGTTCAAGCTCTGAATCTTCCCGGATTTCCTTTGTTCCCGCCATCCGATCTGATACAATCTGATTCTTGTGGCTGATTTCTGAAACGCTATCACTATCTATGAATCTTGGACTCCTCCCCCAGCGTAATAATTAGCACTAAGCTGGTTTAGTTGCTGCGTCTGCTATTGTCATCGGTGCTCTGCTCCCAGCCAGGCCACGAGGGCCTCTGCCGTGCTTTCAACCTTCTCCTTCTTAGATTCCTGACCCTTCTCTGCCACCCCAGGAAAAGCCACACTGCTGAGACCGAACCTGAAGTCTTAATGAAAGGTGGACAGTCCTGGCTCCACGCCTCCACTTGGGCCAGCTGGGTTTGGAATCTGCTGTGTGGCCAAAGAATGCTCTCAAAAGAAGCGAGCCTTGAGTGGGATTCTAAAGCTTAGAACAATGAGTTTGACAAGGAGACAACGGAGGAATGGAGACCATGTCTAGGATCATTAACGTGCCTCCAACTTCAAGGTGGGAGACAGAGGACCACGGCGTGGGCAGAAGGGAAAACTGAGAGATTGACAGTCACAGAGGGAGGCACCAGTCTGGTGGAGAATGCTGGGACACACGCATCTCAATCATTGAGACTTCCTTCCTGAAAATGCCGTGCCCACTGCTCCTTGTAGGCACCAGCCTTAGGAAAGCGATGGTCTTGTTGGCAGCAGGGAATTGTCAAGTCATATTGTACCCTATGGCATACGGCATTATCCCCTTTACGAAGATCCAAGGAACAAAGTTCTTTCCAGCCTCAATAGAGGAAAAATTGTATTCCTCTGAGAAACGGGCTGATTTTTATTTGATGGAAACAGAATAACTTAGACTATTTCCTCTTTCTCTGGTTATAGGAAGCTCAGAGGCGAGTGTGCAGCCCCTTATGTTTGTTATAAGGTAACTTCATAAAATGAAGGGTGTGTGACCAATCTTTGTCTTGCCTTACTCTTATTTTCTACCCTTATTTTGCCTTCCTCATGATTTCCTCTATTTTCCACTTCTATCCTCTTCTGGGCATATTGGAAGAAAGGAAGAAGAGAAAATCAACACAAAATTTAAAAATCAAAAATAATATGTATTTCATCCACTGGAAAAGGATGCTTCCCTTTTGTTGAATAAAAAGCAAAATCTCAGGAAAATCAGAGAAGAGCCCTCAAGAAAGAAAATAGTAGTGGAGGGGAAAATGATGGCATTTCTGAGTTTACAGATTGCTGCCAGCCTAGAGTTAGAGAAATCACACCTGAGGCTCGGTGGTTATAAAGTGTCGGTCCCTGCTGGACATCTGGTCCTGTCCATCTGCAGAGCAGGAGTCATGCCTCTGGGCTCCGGTAGCCCACACCCCCTTCTCAGTCAGATTCTCCAACTCCTCCCACAGACAGTCCCTTCAGACATCTAACCATCAATTAATAAATCAGCAATTTATTTAATTCTCTCCTGTGCTAGATGGAGCCCTTAAAGTAGGAGCTGTGGCCTAGCCTAGTGCCTGGTGCCCAGCAGGCCACCGCGGATGTCTCTGGGAGGGTAATCAGTTGACTCGTCTACGAGGATGGCTCCACACGGTCGCTCATACTGTTCAGGTAACAATGTCTCTTTGCCACATATTAAGATGCATCTGACCCTTCTCACTGGATTATCTGGAGAACCCAGGTTGCCAAGGCATTTGAGGTGAGACCGGTTGCTAAGGAAGTTCAAGTGAGTCATTAAGGACAAGGGGTGATAAAGAAACCAATCAACTGAATTTTAACTTGGGTTCCTAAGGCCTCGGTAATGGTGTCAGCTCTTAAGACCATTCCTACGATCTGCTTAGTCACAATACCTTCCCTAGTTAGCAGGTGCTCGAGGGCAATATGGAAGCCGGGAGAAGAGTCAGAAGACCTAGCAAAGTTTACTCCCCATCGCAACATGTTTCTTTTTAAGTTACCAGCCAAGTAGGTATAGTTAGCAGTGACCTTCTTCAAGAGGCAAAAGGACCTGCTTCCGTTGGGCAAACACTATGGCCAAGTTCAAGTGCAAATCATCACCCAGCAAATTGAGAACCCACAACAGGTCGGAAATGAGCTGCTCACAGGCTTCCAGCCTGCCTGTGCCCCATGGAAGTAAGCCAACTGCCTTACCCCACTTCTCCATTAGAATTTATCTAAGAAATCCCTCAGATTCAATATTTCAAAATCAAATTTGTGACTTTTTCTTTCCAAACTCATCCTCTACCATCTGTCTAGGAACCAAACCTTGGAGTCATCCTTGACTCTTCCTCTCCCTCACCCCCCATATCTACTCCTTCACCAAGTTCTGTGGATTCCACCTAGTAAATATTTCTCAAACCCTGCTCCATCTCTCTATCATCCTCTCCATCATCTACTCTAGTCCAAGTCAACATCACCCCTACCTGTACCAGTCCAGCAGCCTCCAAACTCGTGGAGTCGCCTCCCAGCACCCACTCTACTCTTCCCTGACCCGAGTCCATTCCATTAGAAACCTGAGTTCTGTGGTTAAGATATACCCAACACCCACCCCTGGCTTAAAATTCTTGATGAGATATTGGAGACTAAAAAATTATTCCTTGCTCATCTGAAATTCAAATGTAACTGACCATCCTGTGTTTTATCTGAAACCCTAGGTGCTAAATCTGGACTCTCATGTGGCTTCCCCAGCTCCTTTCACTTAGCCCAGTGGAGTCCCTGGGCCTGGCACTGCCCAGGTCTGCTTATCAGAAAATTCCTGAATATGCATGGGCTTCCAGTAAACTACCACCCGACCCTTCCCATGACCTTCCTAAATTAGAATTCGCTTCGAGACACGCTTGCTTACAAAAAAAAAGGATCCCATTTCAGGAGTAAATTTTTTTGTCTTAAACAATGGGTGCTTAGTCCTGAATTCTTGCATTTAACTCGACTGCCCTCTTGTGGAAGGAGCTGTGAATTGTGCCTCAAGCTGGCGCCAGCAAAGTTCTTTGATGCATTCCACCTCCTCAGTAAGCACTGATTGTAGGCCTACTGCGTGCAAGCTTCTTTGCTATGCGCCATAGGGGAACAGATGAATTGAGGTTGTTTGAGCCAGTAAAAGGAGCCAGACAGCTCTAGCACCCACTAATTTTGCTTCCTAAGGTGAGTTCCTTAACCTGTGTTTCAGATTCCTCATTTATATGATAGAGACCATAATTATCTAATTATTTTTATAAGTATTAAAGGGGACGAAAGGATGTCAAACTTCCTGTGTATAGTTCAGTTGAACTTGAACTGAGCACACATTGGTTTGCATCAATGGCATCAGTAAATCGGGCTATTTGGAGATTCTTATGTGCTCACAGGAAGCCATTCTCCAGACCTGGGGAAAAAAATCTAACCTACATTTGCTGAAGCTGGGTAATGCATGACGATTCCCTCAGATGCACAATAATTTACAATTTTCGCAGTGGTTCCATAGACGAGGGCTCATCAGATCTTTGCTGTGACCTAATGAACAGGGAGTTGTCTCCATTTTACAGAAGGGACACTGAAGTTCAGAGAAGATAAGTGACCAGCTCAGTTTGCCATGCAGTGGCAGAGTCAGAAGGAGGGTCACAAAGGCAAATGCTACGGGGCCACCAGGCAGGTAATGCAGATGGATAGACCAGACAGGAATATGGCGACAGGACACAGAGGGACCTGGAGCATTGGAGGGTGTGCATTCTGTCCAAAAAAGACAGGGCAAGGTCAGCTTCTTGGTGCCGTGGGAGAATGCATACAGCCCCCAACCCCTGTTAAAATCCGGAATTTGGAATTTTTTGTATTAGGTTGAACGTATGAAATTGCTGATGTTCAACTATTTTTACCTATACAAGCAGAAATTTCATAGAGTTCAACTTAAAATTCCCCAGTTTTAAGAATATTATGCAGCTCCAACAAGCCCTGTCTAGGGAACAGCTCCTGTTCACAGGCTGCTAGTCTGTGACCCCTCCTGGCACAGCCCATGAGAACTCCCTTCTCTCACACAGGGGAAGTAATTGGTTGTTTGGAAACCAGCCACACAAAGGCTCAGGTTCTCCAAGAAAATTGCTATTGGTATTCTCAGTCTAATATTCTTATTTATTTTTACTTAGGACGTTTCAACGATATCTGAGTCTGTACAGCCCTTTACAATAATCAAGTCACCATCTTGAATAACCAGAAGCTACCGGATTATTTGGGCCTGGATCCATAACGCATCTCCCTTTTCATATTTGTCATTTAAATCTTTAAATTAAACCTAGTTATAAGTGCGTATATACACACAGTTCACAAAAATGCATAAAGATGATCACATCCCCACTTTGTGTAGTGCCGTCCTTTTTCCTTTTCCACCAGTTTCCTTCTCCCCACCACCCCTGCCCCACAGCAGCCCTGACCCTCAAGGCAGCCGTGATAACCACCCAGTACGTGTTGTTCATATTATTCTCCGTGCTCACCTAGTCCTATACAGACACAAGCATAATCATATAACCTATATACATACGAAAGGATCCTTTTGCCTGTTTCCTAAAAATTAAGTCATATGATATTATTTGTATTTTGTATCTTATATTTTCATAATACGCTGTGGTATCCTCTCCAAGTCAATTGGCATCGTCTAATGCATCTTGTTTAACGGCTGCGTAAATATTTATAGCGGGTACACATTTATTCAGCCATCCACCTCGGGTTGGTCAGTCACTTTCTCCCCAATTTTCTGCTACAATGAAAAATGATGCAGCTAACATTCTAGTACATATGTTCTTGCATTCTGGTGGTTTTACTTCCATGGGCTGGCTGGGCCAGAGGGCTCATGTACTTTTAATTTGAACAGCTACTGTGAGCTTGCTTTGCTAAAAATGCCATGGCCCTTCAGATGTCCATCAGTAGGACACAAAAGCGGGGTCTCTCTCAGCTCCCACCAGGCTGTGTGTGTCACACATCGCAGCATCCGCCCTGACGTGAGCACGAGTGTTGGCAGGAGACAGGAAGGGGTGGCCCAGCGATGGGCACGCCACGGAGGCCGGCCCCCTTACCTGTTGTAGCTATGGACCAGGTCGAAAATCATCATGTCCGTGGTGTTGACAAACTTGCACTGGACGGGCATAAACCCTCCATCTGGAGAACACTGGGGGGGCGACTTGTCTCCCACCCCATGGAGAAGACGGCGGTTTCTTATCTCACAGCTCCTTGGACCTAAACATTTCCAAGGAGAAAACATTAAATTCTTATGTACGAGTCAGTGCATATGCTTCCGCGTCTACATGCATCCATTCATACTCCACACGTGACAGTTAGAAACCCAAACAGGACTAAGGTTTGCACAAGGGACTTGCAAACCTCATTGAAATCCTGCTTATGCTTCTAACAATCAGCCGGCGAATACTGATCATCCGCCGTGTGGAAATGTTAGAAGTGATAAAAGCTTCCTTAAACGCTTTCTGTGCTGAGGGCCTGGTTCTCTGCCGTTTGTCACGGAGGCCCGACAAAGGTTTGGTTACGGTGCGGAAACCTCCTCTCGGGGTGCTGGTGCCCCTGAGACTTACATCTGGCCGGCCTCCCCAGCTGGCGGGTCCCGTACACCTCCATCCCGTCCACGTCCACACACCAGCACTGCTCCCGCCGCATGTCACACTGCACGGGTGCGTAGTCCCCCGAATCCTGACACTGAGGGAGGTAGGATGTGGCCGAGCTGTTGATGTAGCCGCTGAGCAAGATCTGCTGCCTCTGCAGCTGGCAGAATGACAGACCTACGGGAGCAAGGGCAGCATCAGAGCAGAGCTTCGGGGACAACTTTGGGGGTCTTAGCTCGGGAGAACTCCCCCTCCCTCCCTGGAGGTGGTCCTTCCCACAGCTGAGAGGGAACCACCAGCCCAGAGACACTCAGCGAGCTGGTGGCAGGCTCAGGACCAGCACGCCGACTGTCCAACTTTGTCCCACGATTCCTTCCAGCATCCTCGTCAGGGAAGGGCAAGGATTTCCTGGTGCCCCGTTAGTCACCAGGACACCCCAGAGCCCTGGCGCTGCAGAGGTGAGGGGTGAGTGGAGCACAGACTAGCCATTAACAGAGCTCTTCTGAATCCGAATTTCCCCATGCGTTTGCTGTGCAGCCTTGGGGAAGTCGCTTCACCACTCTGGGCCTCACTCTCCTCTGTAGAACTGAAATACAGCTGCTTTCTTCTTCGGGGGCACAAGGATTAGGAACGTTAACGACAATTGCCCCTATTGCACACCTACTGTGTGCCCACTGTCCTACACCCTACGAGGCGGAGCCTACCCACGGGAAATCACAGCTCATTCAGCAGGAGAGTCCTGGGAGCCAGCCTGCTCCCCGAGCCGCGAAAACCCAGCACCCCAAACTGAGCCTCTCTCCTTACAGAACAGCATTGGTTCTAGGCCCAGTTTCGCCATTTGAAGGTGTCCAGCTTAAACCCACCTCTGTTTTAGGCTTAACTACGACATGCTTTAAATGGGGACTGTGTTTCTTTGACTACTCATCAGAATAAATATTTTCACAGAAAGTTTTCACCCAAGTCTCAAATTTTAGAAACCCCTCAGGGGACAGAACACTGTGTACACAGCCGCCTGCTGGTGGCAGAGCCTTTGACGTCTGTTCCCCACGATTCCTCAGGACAGGCAACGAGCCTGGCACGTACGGGACCCAGCAGCTATTTGCTGAACAAATGACTGGACTGTCGCATTTGACTTTCACTGCAGTCCTGTAGGAAAAAGGGCCTCACGTGCAGGGACTGTGATCCTAATTCTAAGAGAAAGAACCAGCAGCCTGGAGGGAGCCCGGCCCGTCACACGCCCAGCCCAGCGCTGTTTCCAGGATGTGAGCTGTCCTGGCCAGTGCCTCCTTCCCTCAGCCCCCTTTCCCACTCGGGACCCCTTTCCCACTTACACGCGGCCGGCCGCCCAGGCCGCCTGCTGCCAGGCACTTCCCCGCCGTCGGCACCCACACACCAGCAGGAGCGGCCACCGTCCCCGCACTGGACAGTCCTGAGGGCAGGAGAGACATGCCACGTGGATGCCGTTATGGGGTCCCGAAGCCACATCCCCGGTTACCTCTCCTCTTCCTTTCCATTCTTCCAAGTTTTAATTCATTTCAATTAGGAGAGATTGGAGAGGAGGGGGCCAGGGGACATAGGAAAGGAGGAGCACTAACACCTGCCACGGCCCCTATCGCGGTCACTTGTTGTCCACCCTACAGTCTGCAGCCCTGTAGCAAATGCCTACCCTGGTGTGACGCTTCTGCCACCTCGAGGCTGCAGAGGGTAAAGGCCATGCCCTCCTTATGTGCACCAGGGGCGGGGGACTTTTCGGGGGGGCTCAGGGTGGCAGAGGGCAGGGCCTCGGTTATGGGTGACACAGGGAAGCACATTTGTGGGGTTTCCAAGGGGAAGCGATGGCTAAGATGAGGCCGGGTGGTGGGGGGGTGATCGGGTGTTATAACAGGGTCATAAGAAGGTAAAGGTGTTCCAGGTAAAGAGAACAGCATATGCAAAGCCTCCTGAAGAGGAATAGGGCGGGCTTGAAACTGCAGGGGCTGGAATAAGAGATGGGGAACAGCTGTGTAGACAAGGCCGGCATAGGCGGACCGTGCTTCTAACTCCTTCTGCCACTCCAGAATTCCCGGGATCCACACAGGGACTGGACTAGTGTCTCCTTGCTCTCTTGAGAATGTCTGAGTTTGGCAGGCCCATTAAGAGCAAGGATGTTTCACGGTCATTTACCAGACCACAGTCATGTAGACGGAGTCCCCCAAATTCAAGGTGACTGAACTAGCTGGGGAAAGTCAGAGTGCATCCACACACAGAGCATTCCTGTGCATTCCGCAGGGGGAGCTGTTTAGATTATCACACCACCCCACAGGGAGAGAGTCTCGGACCCAAGTTCATGTTGGAGCAGCTGAAAAACCCCTGTAGAGAGGAGCTCACGGGGGAAACAGCAGTGTGGCAGCCAAAGCTGGATTCAGCAGGGCCCGGAGGCAGCCATCGACCCGAAAGTGCAGCCACCTCCTGCTTCCCTCCACCTCTGGCTTCTCACCAGGATAGAGCAGGCAGAGGTGCCAAAGCGTAAATCATTTGGCCACCCCCCAACCCCCGCACCTTTTCTCAAAGCAATTACGGGAAGAGTTTTGGCAGGAAAAGAAGGGATGTCCCTGGCCCTGGCAGGGATGAAGCATGGCTCGGGGCACTTGGGGTCAGATTACTCAGTGTGGATTAGCCTGGGGAAGGGAGAGGCAGGCACCCTCCCAGTGACATCTCATGTCCACGGGGAAAGTGAGGGCGGAGTGCTGGGGCAGGGGAGGAATGAGATGACTCTAAGGCATCTGAGGTCCCTGAGTTCACACGCGGATGTAAACCTTACTGGAAGCTGCCGTCTTCTGAGCACTGGGGAACGTAGTCCGCTCGCTTCAGAAAGGCCTTTTCCCTCTGCAGCTCGCATGGCCGAAGAGGCTGGGCATCCACTTGGTATTCTACAAAAAGAGAAGGGGCTCCTCAGAGAAGGGTGTGGACCAGATTCCACAGACAAAGACGGGCTCCCCTGAGCACAGACGCCCCTCTGGGTTTTATTTCTAGCATCATCACCAACAATTACGTTCTAACTTGCAATTCTGAGGCTATTCGCACTTTTCCCGGTGTGGCATTAGCTCACTGAACCCTCAACACTCCCCTGGGAGGTGCTATCTCCATTTCACGGATGTGGTGCTGGACTCCGGCAGTGACAGTAACCTGCCCAAGGTCACACAGCTGACAAGAGAAGGGTTCAAAATCAGCCCTGGGCCTGCACGTTCCCCCGAGCTGTGGTGGGGTTGGGTCAGAACACCACAAAGGAGGTGTTCTTGAATTTATCAGGCCACTCCTTGCAGACAGAGCACCTTCCTGGCACAGCGTGGGAATACAAATTAATTAATAGCCCCCAAGTGTCCTATATTCCATTGAGAATGCATCTAACATTCAGGAGCCTACTCAGAAATCACAACCACGTCGTGAGGTGGTGTCCTTTGCTTATTTTTCCGATGAGGAAACTGAAGCTCAGACTTACGCAAAGTCACACAGCAGTAGCTGAGCCACGGCTAGACCTGAGTTCTACTCCACTCCATAAGTAGATTTGTTTTTCTCACTACCTGCTGACTACTTCTCAAATACCTCACATGGATGACCTAGGCCTTGAAATACCTAAGGCAATAGAAAACCAATGTCAGTGTCAAAAATTTGCTAACAGGGCGGGGTAGGGGGAGCTAGGATTGAATTAGGAAGATCTGGTTTCCCATCTCCTCTCCACCAACCACTAGCTCTGTGGCTTCAGGCAATTCAGTCCACCTCTCAGAACCTCTGTCTCTTCATCTGAAAAGGAAAGAGCAAATAACCAACCTCGGGACATTGTGGGGATTAGATGAGATCACGAATGTTCCAAGGCCCTGGGACAGAGCCTGGTTGAGCCTGAGAACTCCCTCTAGACCCCCTGTTCCACGGCCTCGGCTGGGAACTCACCGAAGATGTTGGCCGACACCAAGCAGGCTGAGCCCAGCAGACCGAAGACCAACAGGGCCAGGGCCATTTTTCTGGACCCTTCCAGGGATGGAAGGGTAGATGCCACTGCCCACCCCAGGGCCCTGGCCAGGGAGACTTTATAGAGCTGCTGTGGGCACCTGCTCCCCTGCCCATGGGCACTCAGCCAAGCAGTGCCCGCCCTGTTTTTTCTGCCAGTCACGCGGAGTCCCTCCACTTGTGTCTGCTCCCTCTGAGGACACTCGTGTGGCCAGTGGGGGACGAGAATCTTGTCGAGGCTCGGGGGGAACAGAACTGGGTGGGGTTGCTTTGAAACTCATCTCTACAGGTGCAGGTCAAAGCTCTGTGACTTTGTTGGCAACAGGCTCAGGCTACTGAGAGAAAAGCAGTCCTTCCCTCCTTCCCTTCTTCCTTCCCTCCTCTCTTTCCTTCCTCCTTCCCTTCCTCCCTCCCTTTTTCCTTCCACCAATATTATGTAGCGCCCAACAGCAGCAAACGCTATTCTAGGCAATGAGGATAATGCAGAGAACAACACAGGAAAAGCCATTATGCAGAGTGGAGGGATTTTAGTGAGGGAGGCCACATATACACATGCACACACACACATTCATATTCATATTTATACTCCTTTCCCCTCTGTCCCAGGGCTTCAGATGTCACCAACCTAAAGAGAGCAGGACTGGGTCCTCCCCACAAAGTCTGTACATGGGTGTGTTTTCTCTTAGCAAAGCCAGCTTCTTTCCTTCACTCCTGTCCCTGCGTGACCTGTAAAATCACCTTGTCCCCCTGAGCCCTAGCATCCTTCTCTAGAAAACAGAAATAAAAGGAGAAAATGATGCGTGCCTACTCGCCAGGGTTGCCGTAGGGAATAGATGAGACGTTGACGAGGACGCGCTCAGGAGATGCTGGCAGTTGTTACTACTGATTTTCTCATTTTGCAAATGCTGTGGTGCTGGGGAATGACAGGTATACAGAAGAACCACCCCGCAGGGGGAAGGGCTGGTGACAAGTAGGAGCAGGGGTGGTGGGCGAGCAGGGAAGACCTCGCTGAGCATGTGGCGCCTGAATGGACAGGTGGGGACACCGTCCCAGGGGGAGGAAGGCTGGAAGGTGGAGCCCGCACCGCTACAGGGAGGAGGATGAAGGGGATATGACTGCAGAACAGCACACTGCGACGTAACAGAGCTGCTCTGAACATCACAGGAGCTAACAGCTGCACAGTGCTTTCAGCAGCACTTGTATAATAAGTACCCAGTGCTGGTTACCACCAGCATTTTTATATTCTTGGTACAAACCACAGAAAGTAAAATGCAGCAGTTGTTTTCACTGGTGGGGTGTGGGATGAACAACTGGTGAGAGACCCTGCTCTGCACATCCTCCCCGGGGAATCAGACACCCCCCCGCGGCTCCGACATCTCAGCTCCAGCCCCCGCCCCAGCTGGGCCTCTCGGTTAAGCTCAGGTCCACTCTGCCCAGGCTCTTCACAGACCTTTCAAATTCAACACGTCCCCAGCGGGGACTCAACATTTCTCCCAATGCGGCACCTGAACGTGCTTTTGCTGTCTCTCTAGGCTGAGCGCCATCCTACACGTCTCCCCTCACACCTCATCAGCCTCCAGATCCTACCAGCAAGCTCTCATTCCCATTCTTTGAGCCTGACCCCTCCTCACTCCCCCTGCCTCCGGGCGGGGAGACCCTGGCTCTGGGCTAGCTGACCAGCACGGCCTCCCAGCCGGCTTCTCAGCCTCCACCCCGGCCCTCCCCAGGCTGCTTCTCCAGCTGCAGGGGTGGGGGATGGAGACCCACAGGTGTTCAGGAGCAAGAAAAAGCAGGCCCTGGAGACTGTTTAGCCATGGGGAGTGAGAAGGATAACTAATAATGAGACTTAGATTTCCGGCATAGACGATTTGAGAAGATGTGTTGGCATTTACTGGAAAAGGAGACACAAGAGGAAGAACTGCCCCCACCCGGCCCTCTGCAGCCCCCATCAAATGGGTCAAGTAACACTCCACGCTGTGGGGAGACAGCAGCAGCTCTTCCCTCTGTAGATATAATGATATCTGTATATTATATAGCTATAGCTGTAGTATATATCCTATATATCTATGAATTATTATATATCTATAATCAGCATGGCATTGTGCAGCCCCTGTTATTTCTCCATTTCCAGGTGTTCTAAAGCAGACGAGTTTTATAAAACGTTGAATGGGGTTAGAGGTTTACCACAAACCCCACTCACCACACTTCCCACCCCCCAAAATGCATGCACAGAGCTTGCACAGCTTAGCCTGCGTGCTGAGTCATTCTTGCTGGCCTGGCCCCTGGGAGGCAACAGAGTGGAATCGACGCCTCCTGGCCCATGCCAGGGGGGCTCTGCTCCACTGGGTTTGGTGTTTTTGGGACGCTGGACTGGGGGCTGTGAAGCAGTCAGGGCAGCCCTGGAATGGAGGGAGAGGAAGGGCAGAGCGTGAGCTGACTCCACTTCAGACCCCACCTGGAGACGGGGCACTGCTCAGACGTGGCTGAGCGTGAGAGCACTCAGTGGGCCAGAACCAGGCGCGTTTCCTTCAGAGTCGGCACAAAGAGTGCCCAGAAGGAGCGGTGCTTCTCTCCACCCAAGCGAAGGAGCGGTGAGCTCAGAGAGAACCATGCCAAGGTGCTGCCTACTCACCACGAAACCTTTCTCATGATGACTCAGCTACTTGCCGCTGCTCCCACCTCATCTCCACTGAGCAGGGAGGACGGCGGGCTTCCACGGGAACTCTAGGTGGCAATGCCCCGCTCCAGTCTTCACCATCCTGCTCCTGGCTCAGGCCTCCATCGCTCTAGCAGGCTCATCATCACTGGCCCTGCCACCTCTCCCACTCTGCTTGGCCCCAAATTGCATAACCTTCTCCTTCATCTCCTTCCTTCTCTAATACTAGGGTGCTGTGTATAATAAGCACTCACTGAAGATTTGGGAGAAAGGGAGAGTAATTGGAATACAGAGGAGAAAATTGCTTCAAAACAAACACCAGAAGTCACTGTTTCTGACATCCATCAGCTGTCGCCCACCAGAGAATTGCCTACTGGCCATCTCTCCCCTAACCCAGCCTGCCACCATGTTGCTGGGTGCCATGCCACTGCCTTGGACAGCTTCTCCCTGTCTCCCACACACCCAGTGACGCAGAGCACATCCTTCCTTTTCCTAGGTTGTCAGAGCAATAATCAAAATTCCTGGTACTTGACTTCTGCTTCCAGAACGATGGAATAGACATACTTTTCCCTATTCTTCTTGCTAAGCACAGCTAGAAAAACCCAGATACTATACAGAAAACAAACAGAAGAAGACACTGACAGGTAGATAGAAGACAGCCAGCGAGCAACCTCAAGACCAGAGGAACAATACTGTAGTAAGCTCCCTGGATTTTATTGTGCCTCTCATATCTCAGACTGGGCGCTGGAGAAGCCAGCAACTAGAAATATCAATAAGCACAGACTCCAAAAAAGCCCCAAGAGAACTCTCTAGCCAAAGCTCCAAGAAAGGAGCAGCCGGGCAAGACAGATAACTTTTAGATAATAATTGCTCTATTCCAGCAAACCTCATAGAAAAAATTGTGGCTCCGCCCCCACACATGCCAGCTGGCGAGCCTAGAATGCCACTCTTCCCAAGCTGTACGGAGGTTCTCCAAGCCCCCTGCTAGGGTGGTGACAGAAAGGCCACATGAGGACCCAAGACATTCACCCCGACTGGGCAGAAATGAGCCCCTCTCTCTGCAGAGTCAGTGGAGACCACGTGGGGAGCCTGAACTTCCACCCCGCCAATGGTAATAGGTGACACTCTCCCTTCCCACTGGGGTGGTGTCAGAAGAGGACTAGTGGAGAGGCAGGACCTTCACCACTGCCTGGCAGAAGCAAAGCCATTGCCCAGTGGTGTCAGTGAAGGCCACATGGAGAGCAATAATGCGGCACTCTCAACCCTCCCAGCCAGGGTCGCATCAGCAGGCCTGGGGGGGAGCCTAAACTCCCACCAGCAGTAACAAGGAGCAAGTAACCTGCTAAGTGTCAATGGAAGTGGAGCAAGAACCTGGACTTCCAACCCCATCTGACAGCAGTCAGGTGGTGTCTCTCTTCTCCCACCACAGTGATGTCAGAAGAGTTCTACTAAAATAGAAGATTAAATGAGATCTAGAGTTTCTTGTCATAATACTGAAACTGTCTAGGTTTTAATTGAGAACCACTCCTCATACCAAGAACCAGGAAAATATCAACTTGAATGAGAAAAGACAATCAACCAATGCCAACACCAAGATGATACAGATGTTAGAATTTTCTGACAAGGATTTTAAAGCAGTCATCATAAAAACACTTCAGTGAGTAATTATGAACACACTTGAAACAAGTGGGAAAATAGAAAGTTTCACTAAAGGAATAGTCTCAGCAAAGATATAGAAGATAGAAAGAAGAACCATATGGAAATTTTAGAACTAAAAAATAAAATAACCAAAATAAAAATCTCAACAGATGGGCTAAAAAACAAAATGGAAGGAACAGAGGAAGGAATCCATGAACTTGAAGACAGAACAATAAAAATTACCCAACCTGAACAACTAGACAGAAAATCAGCAAGGATACAGAACTCAACAAAACCATCAACCAGTAGGATCTAATCAACATTCATAGAACACTCCACCCAACAAGTGCAGAATACACATTCATCCCAAGCATCCATGGAATATATACTAAGATAGACCTTATCCTGGGCCATAAAACAAACCTTAACAAATTTAAAAGAATTTAAGTCATACAGAGTGTGTTCTCTGACCACAGTGGAATCAAACTAGAAATCAATACCAGAATGACAACAGGAAAATTTCCAAACATTTGGAAACTAAACAACACACTTGTAAATATTTCACAGGTCCAAGAGGAAGTCTCAAGGGAAATTTAAAAATACATTGAAGTGAATGCAAATGTAAATACAGCATATCAAAATTTGTGGGACACAACTAAAGCAGTACTGAGAGGAAAATCTATAGCAAAATGTCTACATTAGAAAAGAGGGAATGT